TTTTGACTCCGCCTCCCTCCGCGGAATATGCGGGGTGGAAACAGCCTTGTGTCCGCCCTTCCCTTCTTTCCTGCGCAGACTTTTGCATGTTTCCATCCCTCTCTTCGGATGAGCATTTTCCTCTTTGAGATTTCCAGTCCTCTCTCCTGAGGATGTAAAATCCAAGAACCAGATCTCGGAGATTTCAAAATAAAAGTAAACTCTGCTTAAAAAACACTTTAGCAGGAAAGCCAGGCTAATTGTAAATCAATGGGTCTTAAAATGCAGCATCGATCTCCAGTTAGAAGTTTGAAGGGGAAAGCAGTAATTACTGCACCAGAAGGTAGTTTTTCCTCTTAGTAAGTTCTGGGCAGAAAGAAGGCTCATTAGGGCAGCACTTTGGAATCTGAGTAATTACTTTAAAAAGTACTTTTGTGGTGTTATTCCCTTGGCTAGAAATTATTGGCGTCTTCACAGATTTATAGCTCAATTCTGATAAGACTTATTATTGTGTTTGGTGGGGAATACCTTGATACCTAACTATCCAGGTGAAGATGCAGGGAGACCTGGATTCGGATCTTAGGAAGTCTTTTCAGAGTGGGTGGACTTGATCCTTTAGTGATGTGTGCCTGTTAACCTGTAGTGTCTGATGTAGCCTACTCTGAATCTTGGACAGGCCATCCAATACCACCCTGGTCAACCCTCAGATGACCAAAGGCAGCCTCCAGTACTGAAAGAGTTGTCTTGTCCAAGCGCATGCTGCCATGATGGTTCAGTGACATCTCCTGGTACTCGCGTGGGTCTGCTGGAGAGTAAGTTACCTGCCGGCAGGAAAGGTCCCATTAGAGATGTTTGATTCATGAGGTAATGAATAAATAAATGGAGAAATTGACATCTCGGTCTCCTTCTATGTTAGAGAGTGTCTCAGGACTTATCTTTGAATGGGGAAAACCCATCATGGAGACCTCTTGTTTCGTTAGAAGATCAAAGCAAGGACAACTTGCTACTCAGGGAGAGTAAGTAGCTTTTTATAATTTTTTTTCTTAAAGTGACTTGGTTTTGCTTCCAGGGAATCTCATCGAGATAATCCTATTTCTGCATTTTTTTACTGGGGGAAAACCCAAACAAACATGAAACTACTGTCTTCATTTCGTCTTTATTGTTGTTGTTAAGTGCCATCGAGTCGGTTCCGACCCATAGCGACCCTGTATAGGGTTTCCGAGGGTGTAAATCTTTACGGGAGTAGAAAGCCTCATCTTTCTCCCGCGGAGCAGCTGGTAGTTTCGAACCGCTGACCTTAAGGTTCGCAGCCCGATTCGTAACCACTATGCTACCAGAGCTCCTTTTTATTAAGTGCTGTCAAATTTGTTCTGACTCATAGTGACTCTGTGTAGAGTTTCTAAGGAGTGTCTGGTGGGTTTGCACCGCCAACCTTGCTTTTAGCAGTCCAGTGCTTTATCTTACAGCATCATACCAGGATTCCCTCTTCATTTTAGTACATTATTTTTCATACACCCACAGAATATTGATAGTCTGCTAAATGTGTGTGGAAGTGCTTTGTAAACTTTGAGCTGAGAGCTTTTCATTTCTTACTGGGAACTTTAACATGTATGTTGTTGTTGCTGTTAAGTGCTGTTGAGTTGTTTCTGACTCATAGTGACCCTGTATAGGGTTTCTGAAGAGTGGCTGTTGAGTTTGAACTGCTGACCTCGTGGTTCAAACCAACCTTGTAGTCCAGTGCTTATCCTACATGCTAAAGCAAGACTCCTTAAGATGTATGAGAGTATGTAAACAAAAGCATTTCTAGTTGGGTTCCAGTTCACAGGTTTATTCCAAACAAAACATGTTTTCACATGTCCCTGTGGTCAGTGATGACTACAGATATGTTCCCTCAGTAATATACTTGTCCTACAAGAAAAGGATACTTATTGTGCCAAGGAGAAAAGTGACTTTAGGGATGAGGGCAAATATCAAATTTTAACAAAACTCAACTGGACATCTCACATCATTGAAGCTTTGCAACAAGTTTATAGGAATGTTATCACAAATTTAAACAAACAAACAATTCTTAGATTAAGTATCTTAAGAAATGTTGGGAAGACCTCAGACATGAGCTAAGAGAAGCAAGGCTGTCAGCCTTGATGAATGAATTAAACTGTGGCTGATGACCAAATACTGGTGGAAGAAGACCATAGAATGGCTACTGATGAGATGTTAGCTGAGTTGGCATCTCATGTGCTGCAGCATTTTCACTTTGAACATCTTGCTTCAGCTAACAGTGAGCTTCAAAAGCTATGTGTGAAGATCCAACTCCCTCAAATAGCACATCTCCCCATCAGTCTTACAAAGCACGATGGAAGTTAATGAAGATGATTTTATGGACTGAATCATAGCCAGGGATGAGTCTTTACCCCAACACAGTACAGTCAAAACAGTGCCTTCCAAGGGGATAAGTTTGACCAAATAAAATTAAGGCAGAGAAGTAAACTTAGACAGTTAGGGGTCTTTTGGGGACTCCAAAGGAGTCATCTTTGTTGATATTCTGGAAGGACACAGGATAATCACAGAGACAGAGATACATTATGAAGAAGTTTTAAGAAAATTAAAAGCTTCATTGGTACCAAAAAAAAAAGCCAAAAAAGTTGTGCTACAGAATTTACCCCCCCATCCTGACAATGTACTCATTCATTCTTAAAGGGTAGCATGAGCTGTCTTATGAGAATTTTGTGGGAAACCGTATCCCATTCACAATATAGCCCTCAGATTGCCCCTGGAGACTTTTTATTCCCAATATTCAAAGAACATTGAAAAGAAACACAACTTTAATCCCTTCCGGGTGCCAGAACTGCTGTTTTGACATGGGATAAGTACAGAATTCTTCAGGGAAGAGTTAGGGAGATGGAAATCTGCTAGCAGAGAGTGACAAGACCACATGAAGGACTTGTCAAGGAAATAGCTTCATATTTGGGTATTTTTTGTGTAATGAAGGTTTCTATAGTTTTGTAGTATACTTTTTGCCTCACCCTTATATATACATTTTCCTTCAAGTCCTATAATTATAGCTGTTTTGCTACTGTTATTGGTTTCCATTTAGTCTGTTCCAACTGACAGCTAGCCCATGTACAAAGGATCCAAATACTGCCCGGTCTGGCACCAATTCGGTAGGCAGCCTTCCCACCTCAGGGACTCACCTTCTAGGAGTTGATCAGACAGTGATGCATAGGGTTTTCATTGGCCAGTTTTCAGTAGATTGTGAGGGCTTCACTTCTCGTCTTAGAAGCTGCTTATCAAAGTTAATCCTGCTAGAGTTTGAAGTACCAGGTGCACTGCTTCACAGCATAACAACACACAAACAGCTGCAGTACGGTAAGTCAACAGAAACGTGGTAGATAGCTATTGTAGGAATCCAGATTTGTAGCATAGCTTATGTCAAAAATGGGACGAAGGCAAAGCTGACAGAAATTTTGATGTAAATTAGCTGGAAGACAGTAAAATAGTATCAGACTGAGCTTTGGCTTTGTGTATTATTATGTTTGGGCATCATTATGAAATCTTCCTGTGTATGGAAGCAGTTCCATGTGGTAACCGTTTTGTAGCATCTTACCTTGCAAGCTCAGCATAGCCGTCAGTTAAGCAGAAGTGACAGGAGAAGGTTTACTTTGAGGTCTACACACAAATCAGTTAACTTTGCCATGCAGGTCAATACCCTGACCTCCACTGTGTTATATAACACATGCATATACTTACTGATGGCACTGTGGGTTAGGTGTTGGACTGCTAACCATAAGGTCAGAAGTTCCAACCCATCAGCTGCTCTGTGGGAGAAAGTTAAGGGTGTCAGCTCCCATAAAGATTGACTGTTTTGGGAACCCTGTTACAGGGCACTATGAATTGGAATCAACTCAATGCTGGTTGGGTATTTGTTATGATTCTAGCATTGAAAAAGAGACCAGAATAAAATTTGACAAAACCCTTGCAGCATTGTGGGTCCTCGAGAACAGTTCGGGCACCATTGCCTCATGGGAACTCTGCCCCAGCAGCACACTGGGTTTTTGCCATTGGAAGAACAGGCCTGCTCATGTTGTGGTCATCACTGATGAGTTCCTCATTGCCACCTGCACTCCTGTGGTTGAGGAGGCCTTCAAGTCCTCTTGAAAGCTTCTTCCCCTTTCCCTCCTCTGCTCCGGAGGGGATGGCCGGCCTGTTTGGAACTCTCCTCTCCTATGTCCTTTTGAGTATGGGAATACTGGTGTTCCATGTGGAAGAATGTCACTTTCTATTTATAAATGAGAGGAAATATTTCTATTGTTTATCCTGGAAGCCCTGAGCCATGCTTTCAAACACTGAGAATTATGTCCCTGAGCCAGAGCATGGTCAGACTCCTGTGCTGTATCACTACCCAACCCAAAGCTGCTTCCTTCCCCCATCTGCTTCTACAAGGCTTACTGCTTGTCCCCTCTTCTCCTGGAGGTAAACGTTAATGCTTGCAAAGTTTATTAATAGCCCCAGTGAACGGAGTAGTGTTTTTTTTTTTTTTGGCTTTTTAGAACCAAATCTGGTATACTATTTCAAGCTGAGGCAAACTCTAGTTAATCCTTTTCAAGTGTATCATCGGGGTCAGGCATTCCCTACACCCATTCCCAACGCTACAGGTATATTAGGACGCATCCCTTTGCTGTGGCGTTTAATGCCCTTGTGCTCATGGGTCTTTAGTAGAGCCTGGCTTTAAATCCACCGTTCTGTGGATTCCACCCCACATTCCCAGTTGCCGGATCCTTTACTAACATAAGCACCTAGTACTCCTTGCTGCTGAGATGAAACGGTTTCCTAGCTGTGTGTGTGAGTGTTGCTGACGTGACCGATTGCCTGTGTTACATTGTTTTGTCACTTCTGTGCCTAGATTTACTAGGCATGATCCTTGTGGCGGTCCTCTTCTGTACTGAGTGTGGCCAGGTGAAGCTCTCCTACAGGACCCCATTAGAGGTGCATCCTATTTAAGTGAGGTCAGCCATGTGACCAAGGAGTCCCAGAGTCTGGGCAAACAGGCAAGTAGAGGTCCAAGACATTGTGGTTTGTATTTTCACTGTGGTCCCATCATTTCCCTGACTGTTGCAGATGGCCAGATAAATCATTTCCAGCAGAGCCTAATCTAGAAATTTGGGATTCCTCAAATCTTGTATTTGCTGTAACAGTCCCCAAACCTCTCCCATCTTTCTTCCTACCCTCTCTGCCTCCATAGAGCAGAGCACGTTTGTCACTCTGAGAACACGGGACATGATGTTCAGGCAGAAGAGTAGGTGTGCTTTTATTTTCCTCAGTAGATGAGCCGCAAGTGGTAGAGAGGCCACCTGCACACCAGCTGAAGAGCTGGGGACTCTGAATAAAATCATCCTTGACATGGGTCCGTCTCTTACCCCTAGCAACCAAGGGAGCAAATGGCAGTGGCTGGCCAGGAATTGATTGCATTAATTGATATGCCAATAAGAGAGCTTGTTACATCCGCCATTGGTTAGGAGTCCAGCTAACAAGTCTGCTGATCAATGGCACCAATAAAGATTTCATCCATTAATGAGCAACATGGTAATTAATGTTATCCATAAGCCAATTAACCTGGGCAGCTAATGCGCCAGTTAGCGCAGTGAGTGGCAAAACCAAAAGTGGGCAGGCGGCTGCCCCATCCAGAGTGGGGTCCAGTCTCCAGACAGAGCCCTGGAATATGGGAGAGCTGAGACTCAGAGGGTGTGTTCCAGAAGAGAAAGTAGAGACATGTTGCGCTCAGAGCCCCTGGCAGAGAGAAGAAAGCTGGACCTGATCCCTGTCTTCTCTCCCAGCTTCTCGGGCTGCACAGCTTTCCCACGGAGTCTCTTGGGGGCTGTTAGGGGCTGTTGTGGAATGCCTGTGGTCCTGGCTACCACAGTCCCAGCTGGCACACTCTCTCCAGGGACATCCCTTTGGTGGCTCACACACACTGCCCTGTGCTGCTGGGGGGTTAGTGGGTGGGGCTCTTCTGGGAACCAGAAGCAAGTGGTAAAGTAATCTTCTCTCTCTCTCTCTTTCTCTGTCTCTCTGTCTCTCTGTCTCTCTCTCTCTCTCTCACACACACACACACACACACACACACACACACACACACACACACACAGGCACCGATGGGGGTGAGAGTTCTGTTAGGTAGGCGAATGTTGCTAGAAGAGAAAAAGGAGAAACAGATGATTTGGAATTGTACCTTTTTCCTTTCCTTCTCCCTAGTTTTGTGAAATGACATCAGTGGGTTGTTTGCCAAGCTTAACCTGGCAGCCTGCGGCTGAGCCTGGCTGCCTGAGATTTCTGGGGACCCAGCAGCCTGCCAGCTCCAGCCCTGGCAGCATGCCAAGGTGACGTTCTGTGACTAAGCAGAAACCTAGGCGAGGGAGAGAGGGAGGAAGAAGGTATGTGTGGTGGGGAGCCAATGGGTGGGGGAGAGTGGTCCCTGGCTCTGGGTGTGGCTTGGGAGGCATGGAAGCATGTTCTGGGTGGAGGGGCAAACACTGGCAGGCTAGCTGGTGTCCCTGTGGCCCCCCAGGGAATGCAGGGCAGAGGCTGAAGGGGTCTGACTCAGGAGGGAACTACAGGGACAACTGTGAAGGTGGCTGTCCCCAGGGCCTGGCACCTGCAAGGAAGCTCAGGGAAGCTTTTATCAGCTCTAGGCCACTCCTCTGCAGCGGAGTTCCCTTTGCATTGTTAGGTATTGACCCTCAGAGACCCCTTGTGGATTCTCTAATTGAAAATTAATACTAGATCAATGCCATGGGCAATTTGCATATTGATCATAAACAACTTTGAAGGCACCGAGTGTGCAGCTGATCAATAGGGCTCCTGAGCAGGGCTGCAGAGGGAGTGCCTCCCAGTCCAATGTACTCTCAGAAAGGTTAATGATTTGGGAAGTTCCTAACTGCTCCTCCAGGCAG